TTCAGTGCATTTGCTCGGGTTTGGGTCACTTGGCACTCTGGGATGCAGTTTGTCACGGCTCTAAAGACCTTGGCACAGACTGGAGAAGATACAGCAGCCCCACAAATTTTCAGAATTACTTCTTAATTAAATTTCCTCTGTTTTCCTTCTTTTGCTAGGTATCACATCCAAAAGTTTCACATTCCAAAGTGTGTGTGTGTGTGTGTGTGTGTGTAAGAACTTTGGTGTAAAGAGCCATCTTATTTTTAGACTGAAGTTAGTAGGAAAGGCTGGGAGCAGCAGGGTTGGGAACACCTTGACTGTGTGAGAGATGCTGAGTGCATTCCTAAGGCCTCTAGTGATGAAGGGGCAACAAGGGCTGACCCCGAAGTGCAAGCTGCGCTGTTCAGCCACAGCCTGCCTGTCATGTGGTCCCTGCAGGAGAACAGGCAATGCGATCTGCGGATCTCACTGCACTCTCCCAGCTTTGTGCTGAAAGAGGCTGATTTTGGAGACAAGGATGTCAGCATTTGTGCTGGCAAGTTCAGCTCCCCATGGCTTTGGTTTCCCATAATGACCTCACTTATTTATACGACAGTGCACGAGGCAACAGGAGGGCCCTTAAGCCAGGAATAGCTGTTTCATGATTCAGCTGCTTTTACACACACACACACACCACACACACACACATGAAAAAGAGAGAGTTCTCTAACCCTGAGCTACCCCTCAGCTCTCATTCATGGATTTCTACTTTGCAGATCTGAGAAACTAGCCAGTCACATAGAATAGTGGGGATTTAACCTTGGGCTTACAACCCCCTGAAACTGCCCTTTTGTACGTGTGCTTCCACCTAGAGTCTGGAGGATATAGATTTCACCACTGTGTCAAAGAAAGCATTACAGGTTTAAGAATGTGGGCTAAATGTTCAACTCCAAAAGGCGTGACAATCGTTAATCCTGTTTATTCCTTGAAGTGTCTTGGTCAACTGTGTTTTAAACCCAATATCCTTCCCACCCAACACACACAAAACATACACACATTCAGAGAGAGAGAGAGAGAGAGAGAGAGAGAGAGAGAGAGAGAGAGAGAGAGAGACAACTTCAAAGGCCATGTTTCTGTTTCTGTTTACCCTAGAAAAATAACTTATTTTTTATATAAAAATGTCCTTATATTCCATCTATCTTTCTGCTCAGCTGTGATATTTGTACTTTAAGGTTTCAAGTTCTTTTTCTTATTATTATTAATTGGAACTAAGGAAACGATTTCCACATGTTTAAACAAACACTGTTTTGCAGCCAGTTCTTATTGTACAGGCCAGGCTGACCTGGAACACTATCCTCCTGCCTCAGTGTCCGATTTCTGGCAGGACAGGCAGAAGCCTGCTGGACTTAGAGATTTTAGTCCTTCCCTTTTCCAAAACTGACTGCAAAGACACGCTGAACCGCTGAACCGCTGAACCGTGTTCCTTCGCCAGGTGGTAGTGGTGCATGCCTTTAATCCCAGCGTGTGGGAGGCAGAGGTAGAGGCAGGTGGATCTCTGTGAGTTCAAGGTCAGCCTGGTCTACAAGAGCAAGTTCCAGGACAGGCTCCAAAGCTACAGAGAAACCCTGTCTCAGAAAACCAAAAGAACAAAGCAAAACAAAACAAAAGACATGTTCCTTCTATTATGGTAAAACGCTGCAGGTCCCCGAGTGGCAGCAGTGGGCAGCGGGCATGAGACCACCACAGGCCACAAAGGCAGCCGGTCCCAGGCAGGTAGCCGCGTGGTGGGTGAGAGACAGAGACCTATTAGGCACGCCATGCAGAGAAAGTTGGTATTTATTTAGTGGGTTATGAAGGGGAAAGGGCAGAAGGGGAGAAGGGAGAACACAGAGAGAGAGGCAGAGAGAGAGAGAGAGAAACAGAGAGGGGGGAGGGGAAAAGTGGGGAGAAGGGAGAGAGGCAGAAGCTGCTTCTTCGGGAGAGAGATGGAAAAGAAGGAGCTCAGGCTGGAAGCAGAACAAAGATCTGCTTGCCTCAGCGGACTGGGGGGGGGGGCTTGTCTCTTAAAGGGACAGAACAGACTATTACACCTTCAACCTACTGTTTAAAGCCGTGTTTGCATATGTAGCCCTGAACTATACATGGCATAGCTCTTATTATGCCAGAGTGTTGAGATCATCATTTCATAAGTCACTTTCTTCATTCAGATTATAATTTTGGGCTATGAAGTCCATGTTTTGTAAGATGGGGATGCAGGCCAATGGTATAGCACCTACCTAACACCTACCTATATAACTCTGGCTCCATCCCCAGAACTTAAAAAAAAACAAACAAACCTAGTTTATACTTTTTGTGTATGCTATTTTGCATTTTAATGCTTAAATGATCCCATTTCTTCACCACTGACAGTTATCTGGATTGTTTTAATTGCTTGATTTTATAAACAAGGCAGCAATGCACTTCCTTGTATGGTCCCCTTGTGAGAGCATCTTTCTACACTTCCCAGGAAGGGAAGTGCTGGGCTACAGAGTATCCACTAGCATGTGTATCAAATGCTGCCAACAGAGTCTCCAAAGGGGAGGCTCATGATGTCCTCTACTCCGGCAGCGGCTAAGATGAAGTGAACTCTTTCTCCAGGAGCCCGATAAAAATAGAGCTGGTCTGAGACCTGGGGTGGCTCAGCAGACTCACCACACAAGCCTGATGACCTGAATTGGAGTCCCGGAACTCACATAAAAAGCCGGATGCAGTGACTTCACAGCTGTAGTCCCAGAGCCCCAACAAGGCAGTGGGAGGAGGACGCGGAGCATCACAAAACCAGAGACCCTATCCCAGCAGGGAGAAGGGGAGAGTCCTCTGACCTCCACACGCGCTGTGGCGCACGTGTTCTCCCTCTCCTCTCCTCTTCTCTCTCTCTCTCTCTCTCTCTCTCTCTCTCTCTCTCTCTCTCTCTCTCTCTCATAACTAATCAGAATGTGTGTGTCTAGCCGGAGACCTCCTGCTTCCTCCCACCTTCCTGTGTTGAAGAACTTCTCCAGGGCTGGAGGCAAGAGCCTGCCAAGGAGTCTCCATCTTTCCCATACTGCTGTTGATCCTTGAGATCTTAGTAACTTGCTGGTTGGGGCGCTTATGGGGCTGTGTCCCAGACTGCTCCTTAGACCTCTTAGCTTTACTTTCCTCTGACTGGGTAAAGCAAGTGGCAGCTTGCTTTGCTCGCTCCTGGCTCTGATCTCATGCTGTCTTGCAGAGGGAGGGAGGGGTGTTCTGTTACTGAGCTGTTGTGCAGCAGCCTGACACCACCTAGGTTTGACCTTGGGTTACCTAAAGTCAAAACTGCTGTCTGGTTTCTCTTGTTCATTCTTTAGTAGGCATAGGGTGAGGAGTAGCGAAGGTGAAGGAGACATTACCATCTGCAGAAGTGTAGTAGCTACTTTACTGCAGCTGTATAAAACATCAAGACCAAGGAAACTAATAGAAAAAAGAGTCTGCTTTGATTTCCCGATCCAGCAAAAGTAGCAGATGGCGGACACAGCAACCGGGGTTTTAATCTTGAACTGCACGCATGAAACAGAGAGAATGAACTGGAAATGGCGTGTGGCTTTGAAACCTCAAAGCCTGCCTCCTGTAACATATTTCCTCCAGCAACATATTTCCTCCAGCAAGGTCACATGTCCCAAACATGCCCTAACAGAACCACAGAATGGAGACCAAGTATTCTGAGACCATGGGGGACAGTCTCATGAAACCATCATAAGAAAGTGTGTGGTTCCTGTTTATCCCAGAGTCCTGCCAACCTGCCTGGGCAGTAGCAGGAAGCTCTGAGGAAATAAATGGCAGATTAACTTGTCCAGGCGGAACTAGGATCTCAGCCCACATTCCTGTGTCTCTAAACACTTTTAGATAACTACTATATAGCTATCCTTGATGTCTCAAAGTGTGGGATCCAGGTCTCCCTTTGAACACCCAAATCCCCAAATTCTCATCCCTTACATGAGATGGGATCATATTTGCATCTAACCTATATGAGTTTCTGTACCCTGATAGAGCACAACAATCCAAATCACACCAAATTAGAAAAAGCCCAGGTTGAATGGATAAAATGCTCTTGGATGATTTTCCAGCGCCCCCCCCCCCAGAGAGGAGATAGGAAAGGAAGACAGGAAACCACACGTCTGTTGTTTTGGGGGGCAGTTTAAATACCCTGTGGGAGTGGCCTTGAACATCTCTGGGGGAGGGGTCATCTGGGGTGGGCTTTCTGAGATGCAGTAGGGTTTGGAGAAAGATGGGGAGGGGGCTTGGGACAGAGCTTCCACTGAACATTCCAGACTCTTTGGGTACGTGGATGTTAGGGACTGGGGTGAAGCTTCCAGCAAAACACTATGTCTTTCCGCATACTTGAATGAAGAACCAAAATTCCCCCATTTTGTCCTTCACCTCCATCTTGTGTCTTGTGTAAGCTATTTCCCATAAAACATTCCAGTCCTCAGAAATGGCTAGGGGCAAAAGTAACAGAGTAGCCAGCTGGAGGGTACAGATAACCGCAGAATGTCCCCACCGAAGGTCAGCCGATAAGAAAATTTGACAAGCTACCCGCAGGTTCAAAAATAAACTTTGTGAAAAATCCCTAGGCACGAGCTAATCAGAATCGAACCTGTCACCTCACACCCTGCTAAGGTAACTTTCTGGTTTTTGCCTTTAAATAATGCTGTCTAGAAGGGCGGGGTACCTTCTCCCGCTGCTGTGCTGACGAGGTCCCTACAGGCTTGTGATTACCTGTGCACTATAATAAACTTTACTTTTGCATTTCGGTGAGTTGATCTTCCTGGTGGTCTTTTGGGGTCCCCACGGGCTGGGCACAGCATTGAAATCATCTTCAGATTACTCCCAATAACTAATAAAATGATTATGTTCATTCCAGACACTGTGGAAATAGTTGTTAAACTATTGATAAGGGACGGTGACAAGGGGGGAAAAATGCCTGCACCTGTTCAGTGCAAATTCAGCTTTTGTTTGGATATTTTGGTATGACATCATCTCACCGTGTAGCCAGACCAGCCTCAGATTCGGGATCCTCCTTTACTGGGGTGACAGGAATGAATGTGCCTGTACCACATTCCAGATCAGTCTTTTCCTCTCCATCCGCAGCTGGTTGACCATGTAGACGTGGAACTCACAGTCGGGGGAAACCCAGCCGTTCTTGTGCCTCCTGGTGGACCTGTAGTTAAGAGAGAGCAGCCTTTAACTAAAGCACCAGAGGAGGTGGGAGAACAGCTCAGTGAGTGGCAGCATTTGCTGTCAGGCCTGATGGGATGAAATCTATCTCTGAAACTTACTGTGAAAGGAGAGAACTGGCCTCTGAAAGTAATCTGACTTCCAGACCTGTGTAGCAGTGTACACACACACACACACACACACACACACACACGTATGCACTCACGCACATACACACACACATGTATGCATGCACGCACATACACACGGGCACACACATGCTTGAACACATGCACACAAGCTTACACACACGTGTTTGTACACACACATTCGCACACACACGCACATACTCACACATGCATGTACGCACATGTGCACATGCAGGCATGCACGAATAATAATTTTTTTAAATGTGAAAGTGTCGATGGAGAATGTGGAAAGCCGGGGTTATTGAGGCTGAGTCTAGAAGACTGGTGGGTGTTTTATTGATCTTGGAAGCAGAGTTTGCACAGAGGCATGAAATAGGAAAAGGTAGAATCCACTTGGGGATGCATGGATGTCTGAAGAATCCACTTGGGGATGCATGGATGTCTGAAGCAGAGGACATGAAGTAGGATAAACCCAGGAGGACGAGCTGGGGATCTGGTCACCCAGGGATGTGAGCGACAGGCAAGGGAACTTAACCTGATACAGCGGGGAGGGTGAGTCAGAATCCTCGGAGGAGGTTGAGTGGAGTACCATGTGTTCAGGGGAAGTATCAAGGGGAGTAGAACAGGAATGGGACAGAAAGAAAGGAGAAGGAGACAAACATACAGACAGACAGAGCAAGAGAACAAGACAGCTGAGTGTGATGGCAGGAACCTTTTCAAGGATACAGCGGTTGGTGGTGATGTAGTTGTTGGTGCCCAAGTTGCTGTAGGCAGGCTGGTGTGTGGCATGTGTGTGTGTGTGTGTGAGAGGAAGTGGGGCTGGTTTCCAACACCAGCTGTCCTAGTCTGCCAGCTCTGCTAATGATCTGTAGCCCAGACTGCAGCAACGAAGGGCTGTGAACTCACAGAGGTACAACCACAGGAGACAACGGCATTCCCGAGACTGGACAGATGTGTCAGGTCCCATCCTGCTTAGTGATTCCTCTCTGGACTCTTCAGCTTCCTCCTCCTGGCTGCTCCTCCCCTAATTCTTCATTGTCTCATAACTCACAGAAACCTTCTTCCCCAAATGAACCTTGACTGATATGCATGTTGAAATCGTCTGCTATATAAAAATGACAAAACTTCAAAAACAAACAAAAAAAAAAGCATAATCAATTTTTTAAAAAGTGCCTGGAGAAGGGACTGACAGCGTTCACATGGTTGATTTTAGATTCCGGACCCTGAGGCGGGCTCTGTATTATCTCTCTGCTTTTCCTTCCTTCCTTGGATCATTCCTTTCCCTTTCTCCCTCCAGATTAGAAACTCGTTTAAGCAACTGTCTTACTCACTTTCACGTCCTCTTTGCCAAAAGGACATGTCAGCCCTGCGCACAATTCCCAGAGAGAGCAATTAGCTCTGGCTGGCTGGGAGATGCTGGTGCTTGACTGGCGCCTACACGTCAGAACAGGAAGTCAATGGGCAGGAACACGCTAGAACACACAACAGTCACCTGCTGTGTGTGCCAAGCACGGGGCTAGGAGCTGTGTGTGTCACCCTTGCACTGTGTGTGAGGAGCAAGGGATAATGAGAAAGCCGGGAGTGAGCAGCTGGTTAGCAGACAACCTATCGCTAGGGTCACCTGCCGGCACGAGGTAGAGAACAGGGGATCAGGGCTGCCTGTTAGAATCTGAGTGTTTAAGAGACCATCCTTAAGAATGGTAACTTCTCGTTGTGGTTCTTGAACACAAAAAGAAAAAAATTGAAAAATGGGAAGAATATGTTCAAGCACACATGTGCGTGTGTGTGTTAGTGATAATGGTGAGTTTCGCTTAGTTTAGTTTTTCTTCCGAGAAAAGAGAGGCAAGAAGTGAAAAGGAAGCAAGGTTGGAAGAGGTGGTATACTAGCTCAAGCTAGCTCAGGTTAGCTCAGGGCAGTGGAAGTGGCTGAGGGATGTTTCCAGAATAATGAACAAGAAGGACCTTGGAAACTGCCCAATTTTTCTTCCATGAGAATTTCCCCATTTTAAAAACATTAAATCTACTTCGCACACGAATATATATCAGTATGAATTTCTAGAAAATAAGAGAATGGCTCATGAGGTTTTGCATTTGTTTTCATTTTGGTTTGAGATTACATACATTTAGGCATGTTTATACACATACATACTTACATGCATATACATACGCCTTCCTCTCTCTCTGTCTCTGTCTCTCTCTCTGACACAGAGCCTCACACTCACTGTGTACTTGAGATGACCTTGAATTCCTGATCCTCCTGTCTCCTCCTAAGCACAAGGATTGCAGGACAAATGACCACACGTCTGGGTTACACAGAAAGCAAGATTCTCCCAGAACTGAATTAGTCTCCGGAAGTAGAGGGTCAGAAGTCAGGGCCTGGTACTTAGGGATCCTGGGGAACTTGTAGAAAGAAGTCTTAGGGCAACAGAGTTTACAGCGTCAAAGAAACATTTTGGACAATTCTCTCTGGATTATAAGGAACAAAAAGGCTTTTTCCTGGAACGTCCACAGTCTAGAGATCTGCACGTGGACGAGTCGGGGCAGGAAGACAGAGAAAACGAAGGGGTCTCAGGAAGGGCAAAGGGACACTTTGCTCTGCAGCCTGATGGAAGTCTCTCAACAGCTGGAAGTCAAGAGCTTGAGCACAGTTGACATTTGCTGTCAAGGTTGCCCTCACAGGAACAAAACCCCCTTTGTGTGCAGGGATTTCAGATGAGAGTCTGAAAATAGCGGCGAGCCACATCCTAAGTCTGTCCACATCCTAAGTCTGTCCGACTCCTTTGCCAGCCACAAACCTGTCGTGTTCTGACCCTCACAAGCAAGGCTGTAAGCTCCATTTGTAGTAGACAAGTCTCAATTCCCTCCAGAGCAGAGGTTGTCAACCTTCCTCCCGCTGCGATCCCTTAGTATACTTCCTCGTGCTGTGGTGACCCCCATCCATAGCATTATTGTGTTGCTACTTCATAACTGTAATTTGCTGCTGCTCTGAACCATAATGTAAACTTCGCTATGCAATCTGGGGGGGGGGGGAGGCGACCCACAGGTTGAGAACCACTGGTCCAGATTCATCTGTGTGACCCGTGTTACTTTTATTAGGTTGTAAACTCCATCCACAGTGCCTGATAATCTCGCTTGCCAAAAAGAGACACCCACCCTTCAAAAGAAAAGTCTCTCAGTCCCACTTGAGATGTGATTTCAGATGTCTTTAACATGCACAGCTACAGCTAACTCCTCCTGTGACGTGGTCAACAGCCCTGCTTCCCCTGAGTAGAGAGAGGGCTACACCGAGCGAGAGCCCCTCAGGCTGCTTGGGCACCAGCGCAGACTCCAGCCCACCCACCCACTCCTCTGCTGGCAAGGGGAGGAAGAGTCAACGGAAATGCTGGCAAGCCCAGGAGTGGGCACATCTGGAGGAGTAGAGATGGCAGAGGGTTGCTCTGTTCATGGAATTCAGCCTTTATTTCGGGACACAGACGATAGCCATCAAAGGAGGGGACAACAACAGGGGAGGCCACTAATTCCCTGTCCGAGAGAGGGCTCACGTGGGTGGATCCTTCGGAAGTCTCCTGTTGTTTGGCTATTTTTTGATGACATTTGGAAGGGAAGCTTTTGAAAATAGACCATGGAGTGTTTAAAAGCTCCAGCCTCAAAGAATTTATGTAGCATGGACCAATATATCAGCCACCTGCCATCTTCCCACATCTCTTCTCAACCCCACGTGGGGCCTCCCATCAAATCTCAATCTGAATCAAAAAGGGAAACAGAAATACAGGTCCTTTGTCCAGAGACTTCATTTTGACTTCTGAAAAATAGTTTGGTCTTTAAGAATTTCCTGGAACTCAATCCTATGCTTCAAGTGTTAATAATGTTAATGTAAGAAATCAACTATGTTTATTGGACACAGAGGTTACAGAGTGTTAAATAAAAGTTACATGGGGGCCGGAGAGATGGCTCAGTGGTTAAGAGCATTGCCTGCTCTTCCAAAGGTCCTGAGTTCAATTCCCAGCAACCACATGGTGGCTCACAACCATCTGTAATGAGGTCTGATGCCCTCTTCTGGCCTGCAGACATACACACAGAATATTGTATACATAATAAATAAATAAATATTAAAAAAATAAAATAAAAGTTACATGGAGCAATTGTTTTTTTTATTAAAAATTATAATTTATTAATGGTACAGAGATGATCAACACAAGCTAAAGATTTCTCTAGACTATAATACAATGCTTAATAAAGCAGACTATTAATATTTTTAAAATATTTTAAAACTAGATTTTTTTTAAAGTAAAAAAATCAAACTGCCCAAATTTGAACCAGTTTTCCTCTAAATCAAAAGTAAGAATAAACTGGCCTTTAATAGGTATGGGGAATAACTCTAACATTAGAATGTTTTTATGTAAGAATGAGGTATAGGATAAAGATCTTTTTATTCACTAATGATGCCTGACACCCCACCCCAAAAGCCTGTATTTTCCATTTTGGTTGTGTTAATACAGAATACAGAAGTGTAATTCTTCGGGAGAATTGTTTTAGACTCAGCTCTTGTACCAGACCTCGAAGACAAGGCTGAAAATAAAAATGGTGTCACTGAGCAGAGCAGAGCTGAGCCCTTCGTCTGACCTTTTGAGAAGTCAGCTTTAGAGAGACAATTTCTCACACAAGCCAGTTCCATTTGCCTTCATCCCCACATAGAAGCCTAACCGAGAGTAACCTGATAGAACTCACCGGATCATCCCCTAGTGTTCTGGTTCTCTGTCTCTGTCTCAGGAGTCTGGACAACCTACGTTCTGTCCTTGTTTCTGTCCATACCACCCACCCACTGCCAGCCATTTCTCTATAAACCAGCCTTGTC